CGCTCACGCGGGGACAGCTGCCCGGCTCACCGAATGTGGTGGATCTTCAGCGTGGGGCCTCGGTAACTCATGGCGACCGAGCCGAACATCATCTCCCCCAGCATGCTGACGTCGGACGCCGGCCTGCTGTACTGCACGCGGGAAACCAAGTGTGGGTCAGCCCGGGCAGCTCAGCGGGTGCCGAGCTCGGCTCCATGGGTAGGTCCCATCGCCAAGTGCCCCCGGGTCACGCCACGGTCTTACTCCACAAGGATCGCCCATCTCCCCAAATTGCTAATGCTTATGGTTTCTTCTTCATTCAGGTGTCTCGGCAAGGTTCACTCTACATTTTGCCATGAGAAGCAAAGGTGACCAGTGTCCCACTCACAAACTCCGGAGAAGGGGTGAGTTACAGGAGAGGAGGTCACTCCTCTCCGCGCTGACTGGCCTGCCCGTTCTTTACTGACGGCTTCCCCGGCCTCTCCCAGCTGAGCATCTCTCTGTACTTCTGAGCTGCCGATCACTGCTGGAGCGAGGGCGCAGCCTGGCACAGAGCCTGGCTCTGAGATTCACGCCCTGCAGACCTGAGGCTGCGGCGGTTTCGCCAGCTCTGCCCGTTGGACTGTAGACCTGCTCTCAGGCTTCGCACAGCCTGACAGAGCCCACACAGCCCTCTGCAGGCCACGCTGCGTGCTGGCCTCCGGGCGGCCGACCCTCCCCACAACCCTCATGCTGAGGGTGCAGCGGTGTGCATGCACCACCCGCCCGCTGTCCTCTGCCCCTCCCACGTGGGTCCTGCCGCTCCTGCCCACACCCTCTTCCTTCCCTCAGCACGTCCCACGTTCAGGCCCCACACACAGCCCAGAACCCTTAGGAGTTTGCGAATGACCAGTGAGAGCAGCGTGGCGGACACCCTGCCACCCTACTGCCGGTTCCAGGGTGCCTAGGGCAGGGTTACCCCGGAGGTCGCCCGACGAGCGGCCCGGTGCTCCGCGGGAGGGGTCTCACCTGGTATTTGGGGAGTTGCTCTGTGGCGTGCTGCAGAGACCGGCCAGGGGAACCATGGGGTGATGCGCCACCACCGCCACCCCGGCAGCATGAGGCTGACTCCCGAACGGGCACATCCTCTGTGTTCTGGGTGAGGGGAGACAGGCAAGGCATTGGTCACCAGCGCACTCTGCTGCACAGCCTGGTGCCCAAACTACGTTAGAGACCAGGAGCGCGGGGAGCAGCAGAAGGCGTGATGGCTACGTCTCTGGACTCCATGTAGTTGACTGCGGTTCAAGTCCCAGACCTAGCCAGACATGTATGTGTGCACGCCCAAGATCCCGAGAAGAGAAAGCAGAAGGGTGTGCAGTATGGCCATTCGCCCCGGGGAGTGAGTTCTCATTTTTCTGTCTCTGTGGCAAGTGCACACGCCCTACAGCAACAATCTCTCTAAAAAAAAGAAAAACGGAAACCAGGACCTTGAGGCACAGCAGATGGCTTAGCAGTTACGTCGCTGGGCTCCCACATGGCCGCCTGCAGTTCAAGTCCAGGGCCCAGTGGCTTGAAAATCATGAGGGGCACTTGTGCGTGCGTGCCCAAGACCCCAGGAGGAGAATGGAGAAGGGACTGCAGCATGGCCATACCCCCTGGGGGGTGATTTCTCACTTTCCCTCTCACTGTCTTTCTCTCTCTGCAGAGAGCACACACCCCTAAGGCAAAATCGTCTAGAAAAAAAAACAAAAAACAAAAAACTAGAAGCCTGGCCAGCAGACGGTGCAGACTAAGGTGCCGGATCCCGGGTGGCTGGCTGCACTGCCGGAGCCCCGGGGCCCCGAGCCCTGCGACTCGGGGAGCACATCGTGCAGCGCCAGCAGGTGGCACGTGGCAAGGCGTGGACTCCCACATGGGCAGCGTGGTCGGAGTCCCACACCTGGGGGCTTGAAAACCACAGGACATGTGCGTGCCCAAAATCTTGAGAGGAGAATGCAGAGAAGGGACTGTGGCATGGCCACGTATTCTCTGGGACAAAGGGAAGAGAAGCCTGTGAGGCACGTGTGAGTGCACACCCACGGCGCCGGGGGAGAACGGAGGAGGGACTGTGCGTGGCCATCCCCCTCGGGGGTGGTGGTTTCACTTTTTCTCTCTCGCTAGTGCGTGGCCCCCAGGGCAAAATCTAAAGAGGAAAGAATTAAAAAACCAAAACGGAAGCTTTTTTCTTATTTCTAATGGTGACATAAGCACAGTCCCCAGAGGCTACAATATTTGGGAATTTTGAAAGGCAGAAAACTGTTCGAGACAGAAGGTTCTGGGCCACGAGTAAGACTATGTTCGTAAATAATTGAGCGAGTATTTACGTTCCAGCCCCGTTTTAAACGCACCAGTGAGGACCAGTCTCTGCTTGGGCATTGGAGGATTTAGTAACATGAGGGGATTCGTTAATTGTGTGGGAACACAGAATCAAAATACAAGTTTATTTCAGGGTAAGAAAAATGGAAATCCATGTGGTTTCCACAAAACGCATTTTCCATGAACTTTTGGAAGACCCCCCCCCCACTAGGTAAAGTCACTATCGATTTTTACCAATCCAATGGAACTTAGGAAACAAGACCAGTGGTCCCGCTCGGGGCCTATTGGCTGGGAGAACGAGATCCCACCTGGCAGGGCACATGGTCTGAATTCTGGCCCCAGCGGCGTGAGAAACACAGCTGGTGCATGTGTGGGCGGGCTGACCCTCTGGGATGGAGACATGGGGGACATGGAAGGCCCAGGCGCCGCGTGGGGGGGGCAGGGGCACGTTCTCCCCGCCCTCCGTGTTGGAGAGCACATGTGCCCTTTGGCACCTCAAATGAAACAAAGTTGACATGTGTCATCAATGGTGCGCTTGCTCTAGGACTCCTGTCCAGACCGCGGGAAGGAGAACCAAGAAGCTGCACTTGTGGAGGAGGAGCCCTCACTCTGAGACAGGAACGGCCTCCGCAGCTCTCCACTCAGGGGGCAGCGGTTCCAGACCAGGGCTGGGAGGGGCTTGCCTGCCATCCCACGTGGAGCTGCCCGCTGGTCTCTGTGACAGACGAGGAAAGCTTTGTGTCCGCCGCTGCCGGCCTGCCTCCCCTGCCACCTGCCCACGGCACTGCGCCCCGGGACACGTGGCCCTATTCTGAGTCCTCTTCGCCCTTGCCTTCTTCCCATGGAACATTTGCTGGAAGAAGGCAAGCTCATCGCAGCTTATCTAGGCTCTGCGTGACGATCACACTGGAGCTCTGAGGTGAACGGGACGGGGCGGGTGGCGGCGTGTGAACATGGGAAGGGGACGTCAGGAAAGCAGAGTGCTGGGGCATGGCACTGCGGAGACCACGGTGTCAAGGCTGCGTCAGAGTGTCCGAGTGCCAGCACCCCTTCCATGCCCTCGTCAGATCAAGCCATTACCTAATACCACTGATGCCGGAAACCGCCCCGCAGCGGCCCCGCAGGGCCTCGAGGACTGCTCGACCCGTGCTGTGGCACATATGCCAGACGGTCTGTACCTGGAGGTGGCCCCTGGCACCGAGCAGCCACCCAGGCTTCCTCGTAGCCCTGGGCGAGCTCCAACCTCCCTGGAACCCGAGCTGCTGCTGTGACTCCACGAGTGGGTCCCAGAAAGCTGTGCTCTGGGCTCTCCACTGCTCCAGGGAAGAGAAAGGGCCAGCTCCTTCTGCAAACAGCTGACAGTTTGCCTCCACCTGTGGCCCCGTCCACAGTGGCAGGACACGGACCTCGGCTCAGCCCTCCGTGGGTGGCCTTGGGGTGACCATCTCCGTCCACCAAGCAAAGGTCACGTGCTGGCCTAGGCTTTCGACACAGACCGACCGTTAATGCCTGCAGCGATGTTGCCATGGTAACATGCTGCCCTGCCGCTCAGCCCACAGGAAGGTTCCAGGTTCACATCCCAAGGTCTCCTGGTGGGGCACACGAGTGCCCTGCTCCATGCTGGTGGGGACTGGGGCCCCCCTGTGGGAGAGGGCCTGTCTCTGTCTCTCTGTCTCTCTCTGAGGGAAGACATCAATTACAGTGGTTGTAAACGCCTTCCGTGAATCATCTGAGACACCCCCCACCCCCACACCTACTGGACAAGCCCAGCAACTACCATGATGATTAGCGATCTGGCAGAATTCCACTTAAAACTACCCTGGCGTCCACCCCTGGCGTCCACCCGGCTAAACTGCCTTTCACAAAACACTTCCTGCAGGAACAGTCCTCATCGAAAGCAGGAAAACAGCCCCGGCCCGGTGAGACAGCCCCGCCAGAGCAGCCGCTTCCTTGCTAAGCATTCCAGACACAGGCCTGGCCAGCGCCTCACTGAATGCAGAGCACACGTGAAGGCTTCTGTTAAGCCCGTGCACGTGACTGAATACGTGGGACTTGAAACGGTTAGTGGAAAATGAGATTAAAGTATGAGCTTATTTTGGTGTGGAAAACACTGAGATCCATGCAGAGGTTTTTCCACAGTCTGTGTTTTCCACGAACTTTTTGAAGACCGCAAAGACAGTGAAAGGTCTTGGGGTGCCGATTCAGAAGTTCCCTGACCCCCAAGAAGGCTCTTCCTGCTCTCGCAGGGCCCCTCACTCCTCCACACCTGCTCTCAGCAGCAGCCCACGCCCACAGGAAGGGCCTGCAGGGCAGGTCCTCAGAGTCGCCCTCTGAGGGCCAGGACGTGCTGCGCTTGGCTCCATGGTGAGGCAGCTTGTGGGGCCTCTACGACCTCCTCTGAGCAGCACCGGGCAGGGCACTGTCGTGTCCCCCCCGAGCTGGCACCACCTTACCTTCTGGGCCCAGAGTCCCATCCTGTCTAGCCTCCCCCGCAGCCATCACCTCCCACACAGTCCCGCATTAGCCACAGGGGCAAGTCCAGTGGGCGCAGCTTGGCCCAGCCTCTCCAGGCACCACGCAACCCAGCTCTGGGAGCAGCTGTGGCCATGGCTGCTGGGTCAGAGGCCGGCATGCGCCGCTGGCGAAGATGGGGGGGGTGAAGCTACACCTCATACCTGTGCTGCCACCGCTTCCGTCCCTTGAACTGCTTTGGAGTCAAACAGGACTTGCCGGCCCCTCCGTTCGCAGTCCTGGTAAACCAGCAGACGGATCTCACTCAGGTCCAGCTCCGAGCATGGCCAGCTGCAAGGGACGATGGGAGACGCAGTCAGGTAAGCTGCGACCCTTGGCCTGCTGGGCAGGGAAGCATGCCCCTGCGTGCCTGTGATGTCCGAAGGCCCCGGCACGGACGGCAGGCCCCTCTGCCCTGTGGCAGCTCAAGCTGGGCAGACACTGCAGGCTGGACTCGGGCCGCGCACACTGCCGGTGCTCACCACCAAGGTCAGGAGCCAGCCTGGGTGCTGATGGCGGGGAAGGTCGCGAGGACATGCAGGGTGGGCTCCACGTGGGCAGCAGGCGGGACAGCATGTGGCCGAGGGCCGTTGGCATTGCCAGTCCCTGGGCAGGAAGCCCTGGGCACATCAGCAGGACCACCCCTCCTTGGTCTCTGATCGGAGTGCCGGGACGACTGCCACCAATCACGGTCCACAGGCAAGGCCCCTGGTGCACTCTGGGTGAAGCACAATCACGGTCCACAGGCAAGGCCCCTGGTGTGCTCTGGGTGAAGCAGAAACTGCTGGGCTGCCCTGGCCTGAGGGTCATGCAGGCTGGCTCCAGAGAGGCCAGGCCAGCAGGGTGGGCTGCTGAGCAGGATCAGGGGTTGGCGGGCGTCTGTGGGCGTGAGCTCCTGTCAGGGCAGGGCCCGGCGGCCACTTCACGGAGATCGGCAGTAAGCCAATGGGGGTCACACGGTCTGCACGCAGGAAGCCAACCCCACACATAAGCACCTCACTACACGCCGGCCATGCAAAGGGAAGGTCTAGGACACGCAGGGTGGGGTCCCAGGCCCAGGACTCTGCTGGGGACACGCCGAGGGAGGGAGAGTCGCAGGAGGAGGTGACAGGGTGCAGGGAGGTGGGCCGCTGCCCTGGGGACAGAGAAGCACAGCCAGGCCCCACGTGGCCGACCGCACGCAGGTCCTGCTCAAGGAACACTCCGCATGGGGAGGGGTTGCCCCAGCGCCCACTGGTCCTGCCCCACCCTCTATAGCAATGCTACAAATGTCGAAGTCTCGAGGTTGACCACAGAGCCTCTGTGTGATGTGTCCCCACAGGAGTGACAAACATGGAGATGTGAGTCACAGCACGGCCTGAGTCTGGGTGCCAGGAACAGGAACCCCGGAGGACAGCAAGGAGAGGGCGGGGCTCCTCCTTTTCTGAGCCCAGAGCCGGCCTAGGAGGCTGAGCAGGAAAGTGAAGGTGGGGCCCACAGCACGCCCCACCCCAGTGCGCGGGCAGTCCGCAGGGAAGGGACCAGGGAACCGCGCTGGGCGCCAGGGCTTAGGCTCGGAGGCGGCCCCATCCCCTGCCTTGCTGGGCTACGTCCTCCTCGGGACGTGGATGGAGCCAGGACTGGCCCTGAAGGCTGGCCCCCCGGCCTCTCCCACACAAACACGCACGGTGGTTTGCCGCGCCTGGGCCAGTGCAGGAGGGAGGCACCTGCGCCGCCGAGCGCGATCCTGCTGACCCTGCTGGAGGCTTTCTCTGTAAGTTAGTTTCCTTGTTCCGGAACTGAGACAGACAGGCGCCCCAGCGGGAGTGACACCACGCTCTCCTGGTCTCCAACCATGAGCACGTGCACACCTGGAGAACTCAGGCACCCCAGGGAGAATGTGGAAGCTCCCCGCGTGGCTCGGGCCCACAGAGCACTGCACTCTGCCAGAATGCCACAGTCGGCCCCCAGGGCACTCCATGTTCCCACGAGCAGGTTCTCGGGTTTTAAAAACACGGTCCCTGTGAGCAAGTCTGGGGCACCAAAGCGAGCAGTCCCCCCACAGAGGATTCATCTCCCCAACAGACGACGAACGACAAGCCAATAGGAAAAAGGCTGCAGGCCAGCGCCAGGGCACGGCAGCTGGACCTGGAGGGAGCTGGGTCTCACGTGGCGGACCAGCGTTCGTGTCCCGATACCAACAATCTGCAAAAACATGCCAGGGTCCTGAGAGGACGAAAGATGGGAAGCAAAGGACTGAGGAGTGACCAGGCTCTGCTGGGGCACTCTCTCATGCAAGTGAGCACGCATCCACCTCCTGGCCTGAACAAGGAAAAGACTTGCGAATAGTAGAAACGTGGGCAAATGACAGAGTTTACAGGAGAATGATTAGGACTGTCCTCAAACCTATGAGAAGATGCTCAGTCTCACGCTTAAAACCAGGAAGGATTAAAGACACACCTATTAGTCCGCAAAAGCCCTGCATCGGACACCCACGCAGACAGCTGCAGGGTCAAGACCACGTGGAGCGAAGAGCAGGCGTGAGACCTGTGGAACTGCCTGCACTCGGGCTCAGCTCCCCTTCTGGAGCTAGGCCGACACAGCCCACGGCCGCAGCGTGTGCGTTGAGAGACAAGACTGGAGGCGGACGGGACCCGGCAAAGGCAGGTTACACCCCTCACGCTGCAGTCACACGGCCGAGCACCAGGCTGCTGGGGAGCAGGAGGGAGAAGGCGGCACCTGTAAGCCCTCCGTCCACGCAGCGGGGAGCAGGGAGCAGGGGCGGTGCTCAGGACACTGCCTTTCATGAGTACAAAGAACACATTCTCGTATCTGCTTCTTTCTGTGCTAAAGAAATACTAATAGAACGCCGAAGAAACCTGTCACACCGATGATGTGACGGGGACAGAAAAGGATGGGGGCTGGGAGCAGCAGGCCTCAGCTGCATGCTTGGGTGAGCGCGTCCACAGCTGAAGCCCGTGAATGCCGCCCGGGCTGTCTGGGACGGGTGAGGGGGAGCTGACCTGCAAGTCACTACACGAAGGAAGGTAACGCGGGTCTCCTCCCATGAACTGCCAGATGTCAGCATCGTGAACATGCCCTGGACCGAGGCTGCTCTGATCCCCGCCCTGACTGTCCCCAGGGAGAGAAGGGCACCCATTCCTGAGACCTGACAAGCACCTGAGGCCGCGGCACCCCTCGCTGGGCCGATGAGCCTCGAACCACACTTGAAAACCCTACCCTCACCCAGCGGGAAAGGCCTCTTCTGGCAGAGGGGGTCCCTCCTGGCCCCACACACGCACCTGGGAGGGGGACGGAGGGGCAGGTGCCAAGCCCGTGACCAGCACAGCCGGGCAGCTGCACCTGCAGTGGCAGCCTCCTCCAGATCTGTCCCGCCCGTGACCTGCCTCCCGTCACCATCACCCACGCCCACTGACCACAGCCTTTGGCAGGTTAGCGCACAGGACCGTCAGTGCTGGGGGCCGCTCTCTCCCGCCACAACTCCACCTGCTTGACGGCGTGTCTCCTGTGAAGCAGCTGCAGGCCGTGTTCTGGTGGTTTCCGTGCCCACGGCTGCACTGCAGAAGCCTGTAACAGCCTTCCCCAGAACCTGTGGAACGCGCCGGCCCGTCGCCTGGGTACGGCCTCTCAGCCGGGCTACTCGGCATTTCCTAGTGAGAAACCCTAACTACCATCCGTAGGACTGGTGTGAGACCAGGCGCGGCTCACCTCGAAGCTGTTCACACCCTCGTTTCTGAACTTCCTCTCGTTAAGCAACTGTCGCACACATCCATGGATTTTCCATTTTTACCAGAATTCGTGCACCTAAAATATAAGCTGGCTGCCTAGCCAGCTCTGAAATTCTTTTGCCTCTTCCATGCTGGTGAGTCTAAAGCATGCAGAAGACTTCCTCTGAAGCTGAGTTTCAAGATACGATACGAAACTGCCACGCACCACTGCCTCCCAAGTGCTTGGTTCTGTTCCTCCTCAGTGAGCGAAGGGCTGACTCCCAGACCAGGCTGTGGCGAGGCCCCTCCTGCTGTCAGCTATCTGGAACGCCTGAAGATCTGAAGCTATGACAGCCTTCCTGTGGTCAGTATTTGGAGAAGGATGGCTGGAAGCAGCTCTCCGGAGACAGCACCGCCCCCAGGCCCCACGCTGTTTCAGGGACAGCCAATTGGAACTGAGGTTCAGCGAGGATTTTTACAGACGGACCACGTAAGACGCCTCACCCACTGTCGTTTTTGTTGATGCTGGAGTTTGGGACCTGAACTGAAGCCCAGTATCTGTCATCACAGAGGCTGGGGGTGAATGAGATGATCCAGGGGACAGCTCGGACCCTGAAGAGCTTCTGGCTGCATGAAGGGCCTGTCTGCACTGGGCCGCACCTGTTCCACATGCACCGCTGTGGGCCGCCTCCCGACCTTACTGTGCGTGGGATCTTTCTCTTCATCTTTTGAATAACTGGGAAATCATGCTGACAATAAAGCCCTGCTTATCAGCGTGCCCAACCAAGAGGATCACTCAGTGACAGATCTCCGACACCGCACAGCAAGGAAGGAGCTGGGGTCAGACCCGGCAGCTGCAGCCTGGACAGACAGATGCCAGGGAGCTTGTGGCTGGTCCAACAGCACAACAGCACAGCCGTCAGCACTTCACTCCCAGCCTCAGTGGCCCAGATCCTAAAGAGGTTCTAGAAAGTGAGCCCAAGACTGTAGCCGACAGACGTCCCCAGGCCACAGAAAGGGGCAGAGCGTGGATGAGGTCTGTGCACGACTGGCCTGCCCACGCATGACTTCCAACAACCTGCTGCACACGGGTCTCCACTGCGCAAGAGTCTACAGAGACCCTGGCAACAGAGGAAGAATAAAGGAAGCCGAAGAGGGAGAGGGAAGGTGGGCAGGACACATTGACGTCCGTGCTCCTAGATAACACGGTCGCGGTCCTCCCCAGGCTGGCACGCTCACTGGCTGTGAGAAGCACCAGGACGGCCCGTAATGTGGCGGTTAAGGCGGCTGGATCCCACAGGGCTGACCACGTGCTTCAAGTCTCGGAAAACACAGAGGCACGTGTGCATGCATGCCCACGATCCCAATGGGAGGGTGGAGAAGGGACTGCAGTGTGGCCATCCCCCGTGGGGCTCCGTCTTGCTCTGTCTCCTGCCAGTGCATGCACCCTCTGGCAGATTAAGAAAAAAAAATTTCAAAGAAAAACTGTGAGCAGCACCAGCTTGTACCAAAATTTGGGGAGCCTTTTAAGAACTAGCCTGGCCTACATAGCATTATCTCACGTGGATACCATTACTGACAACCCCGAGTAATGCTTGGGGCTCTAGAATTCTAGCGGGAGACAAAATGAGGGGTTTGGGGGTCCTGCCACTCTTAGAATCTCAGAGGGAATTTTAGAATAATCTGAGCCAGCTGCATGGCCACCTGGCTGCAGGGCGAGACCTGGACAGACCCGAGATGCCCCAGGGACAGCTGGGCACGGGCCTGCAATGGGGACAATGCGGAAGGGGATGACTGAGGGTCTCTCTCCACTCTCATCACTCGGCTGCCCCTCCTTGATAAGAAACAGGCACCGCCAAGTGCAATTCTTATCGGACACTCGAGCGTGCTTCCCTAATGCACCATTGCTCATGGCCTCTTCCTGGACAAAGACACCTCTCAGCCTCTCCAGGGGTGGCTCGCAGCTGCGCTTGCGAAGGGGCCGCCCACTGACCGCGGACCTCCAGCGGCCTGGCTCTGCACTGCAGCGGTTACACCGCTTCACTAGGTCCTTACAAAAGACGGTTTTCACACAGCGAAACTACCTCCTGACTGCTTTTAACCAAACCCAGAAACGTGCTTACAGGATAAGCAGTTCATGAGACATGGCAGAAAACTTTTGTAAAAAAGAAAAAAAGTGGTTAGGCATAACAGACTTCTCAAGACCAGGACTGTCCAGAGAACCCCAGGCTCTCCCTCACCCCTGCTCCATCGGTTGGCGGCCCCTCCCCTACGTGGACTGGGGACAGGACTGTCCCTCTGTCGCCCTGGCTGCTCCAGGCTGCGGCTCCATCACCAGCACTGGGCCAGGGGGAAGCTGCGGCAGAGGGAGGCAAGGTGTGGAGAGGGCCACAGAACAATGCCCACCGCCCTCTGCAGTGAAGCCTGCAGGCCGGTCTGCTCCCCTCCTGCACTTCCCAAGCAGCAGCGTCCAGAGGGCCCCGACGCTCACCGAGGGCAGCCTGGGAGGCGGGCCAGAACCCAGAACCGGGTCGTACCTGTGCGGGAGCTCTGCGGCTTCGGCGCCGCCTCCTCCCCCGACTCGAGTGGGGATCCTGGAGCGGAACAGCGTCCTGCAGGTCCTCCCAGCGTTGTCCCGCGGAGCCCCGGGCTGCGCTGAGCCACCGCACATGCCGGGCGGCCGGCCTCGCAGCGACCCGCGCGGCGCTGGTCGGGGCTGCCCAGGTCCTAGCGCCGCGCTGCGCGCCCGCGGACAGCTCCCAGGCACAGCCCGCTCAACTCCCTCTCCAGACCCGCCAGGCCTTCGGGAGCCCGCGCGCCTGCACGCTGTGCTGTGATCGCTCCGCGCGCCCGCCCGACGCGGGTAGTCCTACCG